GGTTCCGTAATTATTAACGGGTTCGAGTTCGAATATGCTTCAAACCCGACCCGACCCGACCCTTACGGAGCACTAGCAACAAAAGTTGCAAGTTCGTAAAATCATTAAAGGGAATGGTATTGAAAGTTGAATTTGGAAGATTTTTATTTTTGGAGGATTTCTTATTAGGTATGGCGAAGATTATTAAAAAAAAAAAAATTTAAAGTAGATCGGTAAAAGAGCATGCTCAAGTTTATAATTCTATTGATTTTGTCAATGATTGTGATACTTGAGTACAATGAAATAACCAGAACGCTCTTAGTTTATCATTATGAACTCAAAATCTATATTATTAGTATCTATATAAAAAATGACGTAGATAACTATTTCATCCAACTTCAAACCTTATCCAACTTATTACAAAGTTATACTAAAAAATTTTAATAGGCTATTTTTACGTGGTTGGTGTCTAATCTATCTATTTACCTTACCAGTAATCTCTTCTGAGTCTGTGTCAAAGTTTTTTTTTGACTAAAGTAAGGAAAATTTCGACGGGATTTTAATAGGGGATTTCGAAAATTACCCTTTGAACTTTCAACGCTGCGTTTGCCAGTATATTTTTAATATAAAAGGAAAAAAGCTTACCGGTGGAACACATAAGAATATATACGGAAGAACCAGTGAACTTTTTATCAGCTGTTTCAAAGAAATTTCTGGTTTATTTCGCAAAAAAAAAAAATGAGGATGAGATATAAATCAAAACAAGCTTGAAAAATTATGTTCGCGATGAGTTAGTTTTTTAAAAACAATTTGTACCGTTTAAAAAAACAATGTATAACAAAAAATTTAAAAACAACATTTGCAAATGTAAGTATGTAATAAAAAATATATTAGTGTTGTTACGTTTGATTTTTTACAATTTCAATTTCAATTGTAAAATTGATAAAATTTTTATGGTGTATCACACTTAATATGATTAATCAATATAATTTTATATTAATAATAAGGACGAGGTTAAAAATTTTGTGTAATGAAAAAATTAACTAATGAAAATGTTTGAAGGAAAATTACTGTCCTAAAATATACTGGTTGCATTTTTGAAAACCGAATTTAAAACGGGTGCAACCGGTTTGACCCTTTTCAAATCGGTTTTTTACAAATCCGGTTGAAACTGATCTTCGCAACGACGGTTTTATATTTGTTAATTATCAATTTACATAAACTAGGTTGTGGCTAATTATTTATAAATGCAATAAGAGAGAGTTTATAAAATTTAATGAGATCATTTATTCATCTTTTTTCTTTATTACTCCTTTTCAAGAAAAAGAGGGTCGTATTTTCACTGTTTATGTAACAAAATGCATGATTTTTTTTTGTTTAATATACTTATTCTTAAACAAAAAATAAAAAAAAAAATTCGCCAGTCGCGAAATATATATTTGTTTGTTTATTTTCTGTGGATCTCATTTACTAAATTAATTAAATTTTTTTTTTAAAAGAAAGCAAAAAAAAAAAAGTAAAAAAGAAGCCAAAAAAAAAAAAAAAAATAAACCAAATCATGCAGTCATAATTATGAAAATCCAAATAGATCATTCATTCATTCATTAAATCAATTTATTTTTATTTTTTTTTTTAATTTTTTTTTTTTAGACCTGTTATGCTATAACTTTTTTTGCACGAAAGGTAATTAATCCTCTTTCATGATGCGAAAATCAAAAAGAATCTTTAATGCATTCTATTAAAAATTATTTTTTATTTTCTTGGATCTACCATCACATAATTACGCAGTTTCCTATTCCAACAATTTTTCTTTACCCCACATTTTACCAAATATAACCATGAAACGCCAACTGTTTTTTTATAAAGGAAAAAATTTTCCTGAAACTTAAATGTTTTTTTATTTTTGGTTTTTTTTTTAAAAAAAAAAAAGGAAAAAAGGTTAAAAAACAAAAAAAAAAAAAAAATACTAAATATATACAGTATATTGAAGATAATTTGATAAAGGATATAATATTACGCTTATTATGGATTTTTTTTTTTTTTTGTTTTTTATAAATAATAGATAATGGTAGAGGGATATGTCGTTAGAAAATGGAGTGTATGTATATATAGAGGATAATGATGAAAGCATTAGTTACTCGTTTATATTGGTAAAAGGAAATGCAAAAGAGGAAAGTAAGACAAGAGATTGAGGAAATATGAAAAAAAAATGTAAAAGAAAAAATATTGTATAACAAACAAGCATATCGGAATGGTAGTGTACTTTGCTATCTGGCAGTCTATTTAAACGAGAAAATGGAAAAAAAACAAGCAAAAATTTATGTTAGTATCAAACCGGTTTTGGACACCCGGTTGCACCCGTTTTACAACCAATTTCATAAGTCACGAGACAGCCAATAATAACCGAGACTTTCCGAGAAAATTTATAAGGATTTGAAAAAGCCAACCACAATTTATATGGGTAAAAAAATTATGTCGCTATATTCGGAACACTGATCTGAACGTAGCGATAATGTTTTTTCTTCAAAAAAAATTCTTGAATTTTACCGAGTTTTTTTATCGATCTGCAAAATGATCGTCCGTCCCGTGACTTTTGAAATTAGCTGTAAACTCAAACATACTATAACGGTCCAAAATTATCTTCTTCACTTGAGCCTAAGTTAATAAAAGCATTTAGCTATAATCTTTATGTTATGTTAAAAACCTAGCATTAAGATATTAAAAAATTTAATTGGATGAATCATTAGAGCTGGATACAGGAGTGATATTTAGTATATGCAGGGCCAGGATTCTCAAATATCCTTCAAGGTGGTCAAGTTTTTCACGGATGGTGAGGATCATATCATTAGATCGAATATGTCTATTAAGTTGTTCACTAAAGCGAACTACATTTGCTATAAAATATCATATTGCTCGTTGTTTGCTGTCCAAACATGCCCTTCGATATTAAGAAGCTTATCGTATAAATGCTAGCATGCTTTCATGGTTCTCGGCATTGACTTTGTTGAACTTTTTGGTCAGATACGTTTTAATTTCATCATCCAAACCCATTTCCATACTACAGGATTGATTAAGAAGGGCATTTCGAGAAATAAAAATTTCTCATTGATTCTTAAGATCAGGAGTTGCGTTAATATAAATTTTTAATATTTAGATTATTTAGATACAACATATACTATTCGTACTGATGTCAAATCACGCATGCATTTAAAAATTCATAGTAAAATATTTATTATTTTGCAAATAGATATACAATATTAAGAAAAAGGGGGTCGGTACAACAATGAAAAGTGTAATGAATTAGCGAGTTTAAGGGGAGAAAAGAATAAAGTCATAAAGCAAGAATGAAAATAAAAAATAAAATTTTGAAGAAAATATTGATACGTTAATAAGCATCATAGATATTGAAAATTTGAAGAAAATGGTAAATAACATATAAACTTCGTTATTCAACTCCTTTTGGTGATTTACACTCATCGCAAGCGCTTGCAATGTTTACAATAGCCAACAAAGTGACCAACAAAACAAAGCCGATTCTTGTAAATGATTTCATGATTGCGATTGTTTTCTTTGTTTAATTATGTATTTTTTTTTTTAATTTGTAATTTTTTTTTTTTTTTTTGATTTTTAAGTACATGGAAATAAGGTGGAATTTATAATGAATGCATCAACTCAAGAATTTTAAGATCGACCCTTTTTTTTCCAAGTTTGTATTCATTATAAAGAAATGGTTCATACTAAGGTCAATCTAACTTAT